ATATTACTTAATTGAGTACATACTAGTGCTATATTATTTAATTGAGTGTATACTAGTGCTATATTACTTAATTGAGTACATACTAGTGCTATATTATTTAATTGAGTGTATACTAGTGCTATATTACTTAATTGAGTGTATACTAGTGCGGTATTATTTAATTGAGTGTATACTAGTGCTATATTATTTAATTGAGTACATACTAGTGCTATATTATTTAATTGAGTACATACTAGTGCTATATTATTTAATTGAGTGTATACTAGTGCTATATTATTTAATTGAGTGTATACTGGTGCTATATTATTTAATTGAGTGTATACTAGTGCTATATTATTTAATTGAGTGTATACTAGTGCTATATTATTTAATTGAGTCATACTAGTGCTATATTATTTAATTGAGTGTATACTGGTGCTATATTATTTATTTGAGTGCTATATTATTTAATGAAGAATTGACGAACAGGCTTCACAACATATTAATATTTACCGTACACATTCTTATCTTCAATATGCTCAATGGAAATTTCATGTCTTATTTGTTCGTTCCAGAATGTTCGCGCAAACTAGACAGAAACTACCTGCACATAGCTGTCTCTAATTCTGAACCGATAGCCTAGAGGAAAGGCATCTCGTAAACAGCACCCACCACTGCTACTCTTTCTGAAACGAACAGTAAGAGTTGACTATCGTTCTTATAGCGCATTCATGGCTTCAAAGTGCGGAGTGCGATTTTTACGGCAACGGGACACAGGCCACGAACCATCGGATTCACACTCCAGGTACGCTAAGTACTAGGTCACGCTCGTTACTTAGAATTTCTGAAACAATAGTGCTAAAATATCATCACTTTTTAGCTTTGGATTTAAAATCTAAATTAGAATTAAGGTTTTTTGTGATTTCCAGATGATGAAAGGTTTACATGTATATACTTACTTGTCTAAAATGTTTATCGTTTGTATGATTGCTATACTTATACAATAATGTTTTCTCAGAAAGAACTTACAGTAATATGATGAACATTATATGAACAATTTCAAGAGCTGTAGATTTCTGATTCTCTCAAAACCTGGGTCGAACGTTACCTAGTGGTTAGCATGTCTCGACTGTGAATCCGAGGGTTTCGTGGCCAACTTCTCGTTGCCAAAAAAAACGCGCTACACGCTCTGTTTGGGGCTAGAGGTGCGCTAAAAAGGTAACAGTCAAACCCCTTTCTGCGGTCTAATAGGAATAGTTCAACAGTTGGCGGTGTGTGCTTTTAACTAGCTGTCTTTCTTCAAGTCTACCAGCTCCAAATTGGGGGCAGCAAGGTTGCAGAAATGCCGTCTAGGTTTAATGCTTTCCAGACAGACTGTACGTTCAAGCAATGGATTAACCTCTGTCTACGGAATTTATTACATAACAGCACATTTTATGTTTGTTTTATGTTCATTGTTATCGTACGGGCAATTAGCAGCGTGAGCATATTCTCGATTGTTATGTCTTTACTTCAATGTAGACTGGACGGAAAATGTCAAAAACATTTTGCATAAAGACATTCTACGGTAAAAGTTGGTAAAACAACTTTTCTGTCGAATTTTGGGATGTTGGTTTCGAAAATCGATGTTACCAATGATAATTAGAACATGAAAAACGCACAAATTAAAACTGACATCAAGTCGTTATATTTATATCTCTCACGTGACATTTATTGGCAAATATAGCCATGAGTGGTGTAATATTGAAGCTTAAAGTTAGTAGAAGTGATTTTTTTTCTGTGTACTACACACGTGGACAACACGTGTTTATAATGCATCATAGATACAACAATAAAAGTGTTTGTTTCTCATTTTATCAACAAAACCTTTATACTAATGGTATTGCTAATGAAGATACGTTAAATGATAGTTTAAGTAATCTGTGACAGTGATCATTCAGTTTTATAGACGGTATA